TAGTGGAGTAGTAGCAAGACCGTGTTTCAAAATAAAAAATAAAAGAGGGCTGGGGATGTATCTTATCTTAGGTCCTGGGTTTAGTCCTTAGTATCCCCCTTCCAAAAAAAAGGTGGCATAATTTTGGTTTACTGTATAATAAGCTTTCTATTTGCTTTGTTTTCCTTTATCTTCTTAGCAAAACTGGCTAACGTCGGTACAATGACTTAAAAATGAAATTCGGTGGTAAACACTGCAGTGCTTTCTTGGTGGTGTGTGTTGTGCACCCATGTCCCACAGAACATTCACCCTTTCATTATTCTGTGCTTGGGAGGCTGCGGTGGGAGGCTTGCTTATGCCCAGCAGTCTGAGGCCAGCCTGGGCTGCTGCAAAAAACTAAGAAGTAACCCCCACCCAGCATCCCAAAGTGCCTTCTCTAAAATTCAGTAAAGGTAAGGAAACACATGTAAAATTGTATGTTTAAGGTTATTCAGTTAGAGCTATCTGAAAATACAGTCTGGATACTTTTCAGGTTTGTCAGCATGTTTATTGTAAATGGTAAGTCACTCAATTAATATCTATTAAATGTCTGTTCTGGGAATACTGATTTGTTACTTCATAATTTATGACTGTGCTGTGATCCCAGATGTACTACTGCAATTTTTTCCAACTTTTTTTTTTTTTGAGACTGGGTCTCACTCTGCAGTTCATACTGGCCTTGAATTCACTATGTAACCCCAGCTGGTCTTGAACTCACAGCAGTCCTCCTGCCTCAGTGTCTCAAGTGCTGTGATTATAGGTGAGTGCCACCACGCCTGGCATTCCTTCAACTTTTTCTTTTTTTTTTTTTTGTTACTGGGGATTAAACTCAGGACCTTGCGCTTGTCCCTCTGAGCTATATCCTCAGCGCTTCCTTCAGCTTTTTAAGTGATGAAGCAGTGCTTTCAATTCTAAGGCCTTGGCAAATCTTAAATGTCAAAAACAACAAAAAAAAGAAGTAGGAAACGTTTGCTTTTGAAATAGAGAATTCTTGCTTTTGGAAAGCATTTTGCCCATGTGTGTAGTTATTGAAATAAAATATTTGTACTTGGCTGACTTGTGTACACCAAATGTCACAGTTACAGACCTCTCTTTGGTTAGAGGCCTAAGGGTTCAATCTTTCTGCTGTTAAGTAGGCAGTTAATCTCTAGAGAAATGCAGAAAATGTGCTTGATATTTACTAGATGGAATTTATGTTGTCCTTTGTGTAACAGATTGAGTCTGAAAAGCTCAACGGGAGGATCGTACCTATAACCCACTGGTCTTCATTCCTGGTTCCACATCTTTTTACCTTTGCTGTGCACAGGTGCCCCTCGTGAGATTGCCACTGGGTCCTCTCAGAGGGACCTGCAGGCTGGCGTTGCCGGGAGCCTTCCCAGGGAACCAGCCCGAGGCAGGCGCTGTTTGTCTCCGTGGGCCAAGCCCAGGTGCTTGTTGGAGCACCTGTTGTCAGAGTTTGTCACTGAGCATGACACCCGGTGTCCTTCCATTACAGTACTTTTCCCTTGGAAGAACCTGTCCAGGTCCGTTGGTCAGGTCACGTGCTTCTGCTCCTTCCATGAAATGGTGCTTTGTAGTATCATCGTTTTGTGCTGCTTGACATCTTTCACAGTAGTGCATTTTCATAATTCACAGACACTGAAAAATCAGAGGCAAGGTCTGTGATTGCCTTCAGTGGTTCCAAGGTAGGAGCATGCTGCATCTAGGAGAACAGATTAAGGCTGGGCGTCTGGAGCAGCAGGGTGTGGGAACTCTCCTCCTCCTAGCCGTCTTCCAGACCCTTGCCTAAAGCAGAAGGGACTCTCAGAAGGCTTTCCTTCTTGTTGTGGTTGTTCATATCAGAGTCGCCCGTGAAAGCGTCAGTCCTGAGGACAGTTTTGTGTGTTCATGCCGAGGGAGTGGGGAAGTATTCAGAGAGGATGGTTGTTCAACAGAGAGCCCTAAAGCCCAAGTTGGGTGGGAGATAAGAACATGGAGGTAGCACGGAGAGACAGTTTGGAAATCCTTGTTCTGTTGGGAGAAAAGAGAGGCTGGGCCCACTTTCCAGCCCTTTTATTGCCTGGGCCTCTCGGTTCTCATCGTCACCCTCACCACTCCCGGCAGCCTGGGTCCTGGGCGGCGTCTGTTTCTGTGGGATGTGAGTGAGTTGCATCCTCTTGGGTTCTGCTTTCTCATGATCTCAAACCCACCCTCAACCTTACTGGGCAGAAAGCCACCTTGACTGTGAGTATGGCTACTTCTGACCCCTCCTACTTTATTACCCCCCCAAATTTTTCAGTCATCTAAACACTATCTCACCTGCTGATTTAATGTCATTGTTCACTCTCATGCATTGTTTTTTCCCCTCTTCTCACTGTCACTGCCTCGTCATCTTTTGATGAGGGTGCTATCCACTTTGGGTGATTCAGTTCCAACATGGGGATTAAACTGGGCATGGAGGTGTACACCTGTATTCCTAGCTACTCCCGAGGGTGAGGCAGGAGGCTTGCAGGTTCCAGTCCAGCATGGGCAACATACTGAAATGAAACCCTGTCCTAAAATAAGGGCGGGGGGTGTAGCTAGCCTGTGTTGTGAACTATGCAGGACTGCAGACACACAAACATGGTAAATAATATATTGAGTACAAATTTATCTGCTATGAATTTCGTTTCTTTCTTAGTCTGCTAAACAAATATTTGCTTTCCATTTTGTTGGTTTAAATGCATTGTGAACACCTAACGTGTTTTCTAACCCTAAGATAATAAGCACACCAACAGAAAGCCAGAATATTATTTTCATGGCTACAATGGGGGTGAAATAGAAATTACTGCCCAGCAGACAGAGGGAAAGAACACAGAGCCCAGGAGGAGCACGTACACTGAACTGAAGTTTTCCCCTGCCTCTGGAGCAAGCAGTGTGTAGTCTGGAGGACACGCATCTCGTGTGGAAGCGGCCGGGGCCAAGAGGGAGCCGAGCAAATCCCTTAGCCTGTCTGACCCCATCTCCACAGGGAACACACTGGCCTGCCTGTGGAGGCTTCAGGGGATTCAGGGACACTGTACGTTCAGTGCTTGGCGGGCACAAATGCCAGCTCCTCCTCCTCCACCCCTGCGAGCTGCCTGCATCTCTGGTCCTCACGCTCTCCTGGACGAGCTTCAGCCGGCACAGGACGCCTCCCTGGGTTGTAACCACGTTCAGGCTGAGGCACTGACAAAGACAGAGCCACCCACTAACCCGCGCTTCATTTAGCAGTTAGAAATACGCGGTGAGAGAGTTTAAGTTACATTCCCACAAGATGTATGTGTCAGGGGAGAAAGGGGACCCCGTGTGGCCTGTTGTGATGACAGCTTATGAGAAATGTGTGGTCGCTATGTGTGCACATGCATGTGGATGTGGGCACATATAGTCATAGGCACGCATATATCATTTTCCTACCTAGTATATCGGTGCGTTTTTGGTTCATGGTTCTAAATAGTTGGGGAAAGGGAGAAAGGGAGAAAGCGCTTTCCTGAAGACTGACTGCACAGCTGAAATCAGAATAGGGCCAGGGTAAGGTCCCGCAGTCCAATGACGCGGCAGTGAGCGTAGGCAGCGAGGCGGGCTTGAGGGGGTGGTGGGCAGCGGGGACTGGTGACCCTGAGCTCTCTGGCTCGTTCAGGGCTCCGGCTGCTCCACAGGCAGCAGGGGACACTGGGGAGCATTACATAGGGGTTTTAGGGAAGACAATGCTGAAGACAGAACAAGAAATGAAAGGGAGTGGCTATGAATTGGAGCCGAGGAAATAGGAGCTACCATTTGTGCCGTCCACTGACGGCAAAGCACCGGACTGTGAGTCTCACGTTTATTTCCGTGAGTGTTGTTAGGAGCCCTCAAGGCCCCCCTGCTGGGGATGGCACCAAAGCCCCTGCTCAGGCTGGACAAGCTCTAACAGTTGAGGGTTCACCATCAAGGATTTCACAGTCGCCGACTTCAGTGCCTGACATTGTGCAGTGTGGGTGGTGGTAGAAGTAGGAGGAGGAACGACAGAAGCAGCAGGTACAGCCAACGTTGATGGAGCTGTTATTGTGTGCATATGTGTGCTGCTGTTTCCCAATGCTTTCATTGTTTTGGCTGTTTACGCTTCTTAATAACTGTGGGGGCGGGTAATTGCACAGGGGCGGGGCTTAGCACTGAGCTCACCTTTACTTTTTTCTGTTTTATTTTGAGTCAGGGTCTTGCTAAGTTGCCCAGTCTGGGCTTGGACTGTGATCCTCCTGCCTCAGCCTCTCAGAGTGCTGGGATTACAGATGTGTGCCACCACATCCAGCTTTGTCTTCATTTTATAGACGAGGAAAACAAGGCACAGAGTAGGAAACTTGCCGAAAGTCACATTAGCCAGGATACACACTGCCCTGACTTGGAGGTTCTGCATTTGAATTACTTTGGATTATATTATGAATCCGTTGACACATTATTGAACTATTTCTCAGTTAATGTGTTACCTCCATTCCTAGAATTTGGACTCCTTGCACTTTCCAGGGGCATTGGTAGCAGATTATCTTCATTGTGAAAATGAAGGCCTGGTGGGGTTATCTATGTCATTTGAATTCTTGGGGTGTCCTCAAGGAACCAAAGGAATCCTTACTGTGTATTGTTGATAGTAATATTTTAAAATTGCAGGAGTGAAAACAGTACAGATTCATGAAAGTCTTTTAATTTGTTCTATGGAATGTCATTGAAATGTAGAATTTCCTGTGTTTAAATGGGAGCGGTGTTGTTAGGGAGATATGTTGTTTTGGATTACAGCAGAGAGAGGAGTTTTGGAAGGTTTGGCTGGTATGCTAATAGGTAAGGGAGACATCTTTTCTAATTAGGAAGCAGTATGTACACTCTAAAAGTATATTTTACGGGAAGAAAGTGTGAGTTAATGGAGACATAGTATTTTTTTAAGTTAGGGGAAATTCGTATTGGCCAAGACATGTTTGAATGCTTTTGTGTTAAACTCACCCCGTCCTTTTTTTCAGTTCTTCACTGAAGGAAATGGATGAAAATGACAGTGACGAGTCCCTGATGACAAGTGGCCAGTATCCTAAAGAAGCAGTTCGAAAACGACAAAATTCAGCCCGGGATTCTGGAGGAAGTGATTCTTCTAAATTGTCTAAGAAAAGCTTCAAGCTGGATTACAGACTAGAAGAAGATGTAACTAAATCGAAGAAGGGGAAAGACGGGAGGTTTGTTAACCCCTGGCCTACGTGGAAGAATCCCTCCATTTCCAGCCTTCTCCGGTGGCTTTTCACGGAGAAGAACCACAGCAGCGTTCCGAGCTGCAAGGAGGTAACGCTTGTCTCGCCTGGGAGCTGCGCGCACGCCCCACATTCTCAGGACTGGGCTCTGCTGAGTTGCGGTGCAGCACTCAAGCCGGTTAACTGAGCTTGAGTGTTAGGAGGCGTTGTGTAGGTTTTGGGGAGATACAACAGCGAGTAGTGGCACCCAGGCCCTCAGGTTCCTGCTGTGGCAGCCTGTACTTGCTGAATGGTCACCTCTGATGGGTTGAAGCCAGAGGGGGGAACAGTTGTGTTCCCAGTGTGGGTGAGGAAGTAATTAATTCTGCCTGGAGGCGGTGGATAGGGCTTCTCCACAAAGGTGGTATTTGCACCGGCTGAAGTATTTTGATGGTTTTCCAGTAGATGATGGCATGAACAAGGTCATGAAGGTGGCAGAGTGCCTGGCACATTCCAGAAAGTAGTGACCTGACACTCACTTGGAATATGGGCTTTGAGGGGCATGGCACGGCCTAGGTGCAGCTTTTAATCCTTGAGTAAAGTTGCTAGCGCTCCGAAGAACTTTTCAAGTGACCTTTACAGACCTTGAAAACTTGACTCTGGGTAACTGGCCTTTGAATGAAATTTACAAACATTTGGCATAGAAATTATTAGTTAATGAGCAGACTTTGGCAAGGTCGCGCGAGTACATAACATCTTCTCCTTTCTCAGTTCCCTTGAGCCCCCACCATCCTCCTCGGCCTCTCCTGCCTGCCAGGCTTTGTGAGTGGAGGGTTAGGGTGAAAGGGGGGAAGAGGCAGGGTGGGGAGGGGTTAGTGGGTGTTAGTGTTAGCTCCTCTCCCGTGGTAAATACGCTCGTTTTCATTGAAAGGATATGGTATTAAAACCCAGGATCACTTTGATGCTAGGGATGTTCACAGTAGTAACACACGCCGGCCAGCTTGCACCACAGGGCTGCATGCATGACTGTTGTGTGGGGCGGCCCTACCGGTGGTGGGGCAGACGGATCGAGTCAGTTGGTCTTTTTACTAATAAAATTAGTAAAACTTTTTACTCTAAATCTATAGTAACAGTCTATAAATGCACTGAATCTCATTAGTTACTTGAATTTGAATAATTACTGCTCATAGATATTAATACTATTTATAACAATTAAAAATAATGCATTAATGAACACATTTATTTCATTAAATTACAAGAATTTATTTATATTTGTGACTAGTTTATTAGTAATTGAAACTCTAAGGGGCTGGGGGTTTAGCTCAGCGGCAAAAGTGCCTGCCTGGCAAGCGCAAGGTCGTGAGTTCGGCTCCCGGTACCGGAGAAAAACCAAAAAAAATAAATAAATAAATAAATTAAAATACAGGCCACATTTTGCCTAATAGAGGACTAAATGGACAAACTAAATGGCCATGTAAGCCCAGGCCCACTGATGACCTATGTTAATAAAGAGC